GATTGGCAACTAACCCAAACAACAATATGGCAAGAAAAGTCGTAAAATGGGGCAAAAGTCAATTAACAAATGTCTCACTTAGCAACATAAATTTTGGGCTCAATTGTGGTTGTAAGTCAAGGACTACCTGTACATTATACAAAAGGCCCAGTGTCTACTTACTCTCTTGTAATATCTTCCTCTCCTATCTCTCTGCTCTCTGGGAGTGGGGACAAAAATGGGTCAGGGAAAGATCGCTTGTGCTCCCCACCCCTTCCTTCTGAAAGTGGAGAGATTGCTTAAGCATTGGAGGGAAGAGGAAAAAGGGGGGAAAATCCAAGAAATCTCTAGCAAAAAATAGAAGCAAAATATCAATTTAAGTTTGAGGAAAAATAACTAAGAAGCTGCTTAACACTTCTTGGCTCACCTTCCTAAGAATCTTTGTTGGTCTAGTTGGATAATGATAGAAGCTAGAGCTAAACGGAAGTTTCTCATTTTTATTTTTATGAATTGGTTTGATTTGATTTCTATAGCAACCCATCTCAGCAAATGACTCTGGGTGGCTCACAATTCATGTATCATTATTACCAGAAATTGTTATAATTTTATAGGTTGAACTGCTTTAAAGATCATGTTATGCAACTTCCTGAATAATACTATGTATATTCTATAATACTATACTCGGACATAGTCCTCAGCATGCAAAATAAATAAATGAAGAACTGTAGCTGCCCCTTCTCCTTTCGGAAAAATCTGGTGAGCTCAAAGTTTATTCACAGGCTCATCAGAACTGCAAAGAGTTTAGTTCCTTATTCTGTTCCTTTTCTTTGCCAATAACTGGCAAATACTGTAAAATACTGTAAGAGAGTGTTGCTTGTCTTTGTGCCCTTAAATTTTTTTATTTATTTTTTTAAAAATTTAAAATTTGTGCACCTCCATAACTGTTTGGTTTGGCTCTGGAACCAAACAAGACAAACACAGACTTCAACGGATAATTAGAACTGCAGAAAAAACAATTGCTACCAACCTACCTTCCATTGAGGATCTGTATACTGCACAAGTCAAAAAGAGGGCTGTGAAAAATATCTACAGACTCCTCACATCCTGGACATAAATTGTTTCAACTTCTACCCTCAAAAAGATGCTATAGAGCACTGCGCACCAAAACAACTAGACACGAGGACAGTTTTTTCCCGAATGGCTTCACTCTGTTAAACAACTAATTCCCACAACACTGTCAAGTAATTTACTAAGACTGTATTACTATTATTCTTCTCTTCCTTACTAGTATCTGTCTCTTCCCACTTATTACTATAACCATGTTGCTTATAACTTGTATCTTTCAATTATGTTGTTTTTATTTGTTTCCTAGTATGATTTGATAGCTTATTAGTAACCTTGACTATTACTAAGTGTTGTATCTTTTTATTCTTGATGAATGTATTTTATCCTGCTTATGTACACTGAGAGCATATACACCTAAGACAAATTCCTTGTGTCCAATCACACTTGGCCAATAAGGAATTCTATTCTATTCTATTCTATTCTATTCTATTCTATTCTATTCTATTCTACTCTATATTAACTGAAGCAAAGAAAAATTTCTGCTTCAGAGAAAAGGGGAATTTTCTGCTAAGGCCAAAGACAATTCTTCCGTATTGGTGTAGATTATGAATATGCACAACCCATACAAAGGAATGTAAAAAGTCAATGGTATATGCCCTATTTCCTCAAGCACAAAGAAGATTTGGAGCCAGTGCTGTGCATTTTATTTCTTAATATCTAAGAGAATTTACTTCCTTTAGTCATAAATAAACTAAGAGAACAATAGTGAAGGAAAACAGTCAATAGCCCTATCAATTACATTAATCCATCAATTGCGTCAGTTCTTCTTTGGATTATACACTATAAGCCCAACATAGTTAAGCAAGTTTATTTCTAGCTCCAGAATGATGTGAAACCCCAGAAAACAGGTCAGGTTAGAGAAGAGGAACCCTTCTAATACCAATGTGCCCTTGCTCATTTATTAAGAGTAATCTCCACTTCAATCTCTAATGCCATCAATTGTATAACAACTGAAACTAGAATTATTAAGCATTCTACATTTTCACAAGGAAGCTGTTAACATCTCTTTAATAATGCAGTGAAAGCTGCACTGGTTAATGTGCACTGCGGGGTGCAGTTATTTTGATCTGAGAAAGTTGCTTATCTCTTCAGCCTTGAAATTCATCCTTGTTTCACTCTCGAGTAGGCTTTCAGCAAAATCAGTTCAGAAGGAAGGAAGGAAAGAAGGAAGGAAGGAAGGAAGGAAGGAAGGAAGGAAGGAAGGAAGGAAGAAGGAAGGAAGGAAGGAGGAAGGAAGGAAGGAAAGAAAGAAAGAAAGAAAGAAAGAAAGAAAGAAAGAAAGAAAGAAAGAAAGAAAGAAAGAAAGAAAGAAAGAAAGAATGAATTTATGGCTTATTATCAGGGCCAGTTCAAGCAAAGTGTTGAGTTCTTTCCATTGATGTAACTTCATTTAAGTTGCTTCAGGTTGTAAAAACAACAACATCATTTGGGCTAAACCCAGCTGTTTAAATCAGTCTTCCACCCATGCTGTCTTTAGGGATAAAAGCAATTGCTTAAATTTTGGTGCTGAAGTTAAGTCCAAGAGATGGTACCAATCTGTCCAGATCATAAATGTTTATCTCTAAAACATCATAGTTTCTTTTTACAATCTGGGCGTGGATTTATCTCTCAAATGTACAGATAATCTTTGACTTTTGACCGTAATGGAGCCTTGTGGTCATACATTGTGATAAACATAAAGCAAGTCATCACATGATTGACCTGATTTTTATGTTTTTATTCCTTGTAGTTGTCATTAAATGAGTCACCATAGTCTTTAAGCAAACATCACAGTTCTTGAGCAAATCCATTGGTTACTATAGTGCATTTTTCTTGAAAACCAGAAGTAAACATCAGCTTCTGAGAACTCCAAATGTGATTATGTGACCAAGGCAGCAGTTGTTGGAACTTTGGAAATATGTTCTAAGTAGCTTTTGGGGGGTGGGGTGTCTATTATAAATTGAGGACTAGCTGCAATATGGAAATGTACATGGAAAATACCCAACGTTGCTGAAAACACGTGCCAATCCTTTGTTACAAGTGACCAACACAAACAAGTGAAAGTTTAAAAATGAATTCACAATTTATGAAGCTATAACCAATGACCCCAACTCAAAAACCACCACCCCCCAAAAAAACTAATGAATTAATGATAAAATAAATTAAACAATACTTCAACTGGTTGGAGTAATGATTTTTTATTCCTGATCTATTGCTTTGTAGTTTTATTATACAAGTATAAAGAATAGTAGAGAACCAGTTTGGTGTTAGTGGTTAAGGCAAACAGGCCAGAAACTGGGAGATTATGAGTTCTAGTCCAGTTCTGGGCACTTAGCCAACTGGGTGACCTGGGACAAGACACTTTCTCTCAGCCCTAGAAAGAAGGTAATGGCAAACATCCTCTAAAAAATGCTTGAAAGACAACAATTGTGTTGCATAGACCAGGGGTGGGCAAATGTGGCCCTTTTACAACCTGTGGACTTCTACTCCCAGAATTCCTGAGACAAGTTTGTCTCAGGAATTCTGGGAGTAGAAGTCCACAGGTTGTAAAAGGGCCACATTTGCCCACCCCTGGTATAGACTAAAGAGCATCATGTGTTATTCAAAATGGCCAAACTTGATTTGGAACATGGTCTTCCATTCACCTCCTTCTTTGATTCTGGTCAAGTTATAAGGGCACAAAGATCCAACTGGTCCTTGGGGTCTGATTCAGTTGCAATTTAGGTTGTTCCAGGTGCTTGGTTGATTCCCCCCAGCAATTCTTCCTGGGATTCTGCATCTCGTTGAAGCGTGTAACTCACGAGCAAGCAGCAAAATGCTGAATTCACCAGCAACCAGCAAGGCTTGACTATATCTGTGCCTGTTGAGCAGAGAGAGTATTTAATTTGCCTTGGGAAGAATGCTTCTCCTGCTAGAAGCAACTCCAGCATCTGGCTTGCCTGCCTTAGCACTTGGAATCGAGTTATTTGAAATCCTGGCTTGTTGTCTAACAACCACCTTGTCTCTCTCTTGATTTGGCATGTAAATCATCACCTTGACTTTAAACTGCTAGACTTTGAAATTTGCTGTTGCTCGGTTAAGCCTTATCTACAGTTAATTGCTATGCATTGTTGTCTTGCTGTTGGGATTTACAGAAGCAAGTATTTCCTTTAACACTGCATGTGCCTGGCTTCAATTCAATCTACAACTTCCTTGTACATATACGCAATTCGTTAAGTCTCTTTGTGTGTACACACCAGTGGTGGGTTTCAAAATTTTTTACTACCGGTTCTGTGGGTGTGGCTTGGTGGGCGTGGCATGGCTTGGTGGGTGTGGCATGGCTTGGTGGACGTGGCAGGGGAAGGATACTGTAAAATCTCCATTCCCACCCCACTCCAGGAGAAGGATACTGTAAAATCTCCATTCCCTCCCTAATCCAGGGGAAGGATATTGTAAAATCTCCATTCCCTCCCCAATCCAGGGGAAGGTTACTGCAAAATCCCCATTTCCTCCTGATCATCTGGGACTTGGGAGGCAGAAAATAGATGGGGGCAGGGCCAGTCAGAATTTTTACTACCGGCTCTCCGAACTACTCAAAATTTCCGCTACCGGTTCTCCAGAACTGGTCAGAACCTGCTGAAACCCACCTCTGTTACACACACACACACACACACACACATATCACACACACAGACGCACACACATATATAGTCTCTTTATGTGTCTGTGTGTATATGTGTGTGTGTATACACACAAAGAGACTTAACGAATTGCATAAATGTACAAGGAAGTCCATAGCATTTTCAAAAAATCAACATGAAATTTGATCTTCACCTAGCATGACCTTTTGTTTACTGCCTTATTAATATTTAACAAAGATGAACAGTATAAAAGACTTGAATCTGCATCTTATCTTACTTTTTATTAGAGCTGCCACTATGTCTTCTTCTTTGCTTCTTATAGGAGTTCTCTGCATTTTAGGAGCAAATGGTTTTGCCTCTGCAGGGAAAGCAAGGTGAGTTCATTTTATGGGATAGAAATTACATTTGGTAGCATTTGTGTCAATCTTCTCCAAAGTTCCTGGTACCTTGTTTTTAATTTCTGGAAGATAGAAAGTAAGAGAATACCTGCAAGTGAGAATTCCTGCTTCCTCCCTTTTTCTAAATGCTTTGATTAACTCTAAGTGATTTTAGAAATCCTGATGCTTTGATTAATTTTGAACAAAATGCCAGCCCTATTGAGGACAATAGAATTCATGTCCATGCGTAAAATATAAAATCAAACTGATGAATGTACATTATTTTATTAGAACCATGGTACTAAAATTTCCAGGGTGTGTTGATAGTAAATACAAAAGGCACCCAAACGAAACCACATATACACACACACCAGTGTGGGTTGCCCCCGGTTCAGACAGGTTTGCAAGAACCGGTTGTAAAACCGGTGGGAGGCGCGATCCCATTGCGAACCAATAGTAAAGGTAAGTAGAACCCACCCTAACACACACCTCTTGGGTCTTGGATCATCACTGATTTTTCCTACATCAGTGGTATGGAGAAAATTCCTGAGAATTCTTTAAAATGTGAATGTACAAACCCATCAAGTTATAGATTAAAGCTTCTTTGTATTAAATCTTATCAGATACAATCTTGCTTGCTTGAATTCTGTTTTTAAAAACAAGCAAAGAAGCTTGCGCATAGAAACTGCCAATCAGTTGCAAGAGCCTGGGTGGTGCAGCAGACTAAAGTGCTGTTAAAGTAGCACTTAGCTGCCAGCTGCCTGCAACTATTGCAAGTTCAAATCTCACCAGGCTCAAGGTTGACTCAGCCTTCCATCCTTCCGAGGTAGGTAAAATGAGGACCCAGATTGTGGGGGCAATAAGCTGACTTTGTATAAAAAAAGAACACCGCTTGGGGGGGAGGCGAAAGCCCTACTAAGGAGGTATATACAAAAAGTATGAAGGCTATTGCTTAATGCATTGTAAGCCACCCTGAGTCTCCGGAGAAGGGCGGCATATAAATCAAACCAATAAACAATAAACAATAATAAACTCAACTCTTTTTCCTAGGGTCATGGACTTTTCAGGGGGATATTCCAATATAGCATGCATCTTGAAATTGCACAGTCCAGAGCAAATAATGTCAAGCAACGTTTCGTTGTGAGAGTTACAACAAGACGACGTTGCATCCCTATTAAATAGCCAGAGAAAAAAAAGTTGTATTGTTCCTATATAGCTTCCTTGCAATATACAAACATTATACATACAAACAGGAACTTACAACGTATTAATCCAGAAACATTTCAAATTAATTTAAAATGATTTTATTTTAAGGTTGAAACGGGAACCTAATGCTCCAGAGCCCATTGACTGCTTGCTGACTACCTGGGACGATTGGGGGCCATGCAGTCCGTGCTCAAGTCACAGAGTAAGTGGCATTTCCATAATTTCACTTTCATTAAAAGGGCTTCATGAAGAAGATTTGTTTGTGAAGTATAGGCTCCTTGGTGGATATTAGTTTCAAGTAGTAAAAGAAAAAGGGTTTCTTGTTTGGAATAACTGGTTATTTACGAATGTTAAATTTGAATGGATGATAAGAGATCACTCGTTTCAATCCTTTCACTGTGTAACTGTCTACACTATAATAGCCTCTCTAGCTGTACGTCAGTGTTCCTTTCTTAAAATTTGGTGAGGTTGAGGTTGAGTAGATGATCATCCAGTAATGGAGTGATAGTCTTTCCTCCTGAATAGCCAGTGGTGGGTTTCACATTATGTTATTACCAGTTCGCTGCGCGCGCACACACACTTGGTTCATGTGCGGCCGTGTGGCTGGTTTGTGTGCATACACACCCAGTTCGCATGCATGTCTGCCTTCTGCACATGCACCTGGCCTTCTGCGCATGCACTTTGCTCACACGTGTGCCAGAGGTGGGTTCTACTTACCTTTACTACCGGTTCGCAATTGGGCCGTGCGCAGAAGCTTCCTGATGACTTTGGGGTCAGTGAGCGGAGTCTCCCACCAGTTTTACTACCGGTTCTATAGAACCGGTCCGAACCAGGGGCAACCCACCACTGGCGTCCGCCTTCCACAATGCACCCGACCTAAAAAACATGCCTAAATAGGATGGCATAGAGCTGGGGCAGGTGGGTGGGTGGCATAGAGCTGGGGCCCCCACCCATGATTGATTTCTGCTACCAATTCAGGCGAACCAGTCCAAACTGGCTGAATTTCACCTCTGCTGTGAAACCTGAATTCTCCATCCTTTCCATTTTGTGGCATTGCAACAAGTTTCCATTTCTTTCACCTTGCATATTTATTTTACTAGCCATTTCCCACATAGAGGGACTAAAAACAGTATATCAAATTTAAGATTTAAAAACAGGCAAGGATGAATTAAACTTCAATGTTAATCATTAATTAAAAGGCAAGTGGAGGGCTTTCGAGACCAGCTTCATTTTCCCCAGCCGTTCATCCCCTCCACAGCTGGCTGATTCTGAGCCTGTTTTAATTTCCTTTTTAATATCTCCCACAAAGTACCGCTCAAGGAGTATTCTGAAGTTTGGACAGTTTGGAGGGAAGCCATGCATTGAGGCCCTGAGCGATAGAGAGTCCTGTGAGACAAGAACTCCGTGCCCAGATGGGAGAGGTCATTGTGGGAAGCAAGAGTTTGAATGTGAAAATGGTAGGTATGGAGACTCTGACATCATTTCTCTACTGCCATCACTGACTCTAGTGGTATGATGACAAGATGAAGATTTAGAGCCAGATCCCAATGATTTAAAACTCTAGGCCTTTGTAAGAAGAGCCTCCAGGATCACTTTCCAGATGGGGAAACTGCACACTGGCTAAAATGTTTTTGTTTGCTTTCTAAAACTGCAAGAAAAGCAGTATGGAGACTTTGACATCATTTTTCTGCTGCCTTCATTGTCTGGCAAAGAGAATCTACAGGATCACCTTCCAGTAGGTGAAAATGACATACTGGTTGATGTGTTTTTGTTTTATAAGCAGCTTTCTCCCATAGCACATTTTTTTGTCTAAGCAAATGTCCATAGTATAGTGTGATGATGAATTATTCTGCCCCAGCTACGGACCCCAAAGGATACAGCACACACAAAGTTTGTACAAAACTTATTTTACTAAAATAACTCAGTCTTTTTCAAAACAAAGGCTGTTAATAAACTTTCTTAACAGCCTACAAGAAACCAAAGATAAAGTAATCACAATCTTACTAAGTTTGGTAGAAAGCCCAGAAGCAATTTGCAGAGAATCCAGACGCGAAGTAGAGTGAACTAAAGTTGTTCCCTACAAATTGCTTCAGTCAGCGTTCCTCCTTAAATAGGCTAAGGGAGTGGCCAATTAGCCCCAAGCCTTACTCTCGAGGAGACCTCCTCCTGAGGAGCCACTCCTGCCTTTTGGCCGCTCTGCGTGCCCCTGCATCAAGAAGAGGCTCCTCCTCTTCGCCCTCTTCACTTAAAGGAGCTTCTGGGGGTTCTGAAGGCCCTGGTTGAATCCCCGCCTCTGGCACCACATCTTCTCCAGCCTCCTCATTGTCCGACTCGAGTGCCAGCTGCACAGGCTGCTAGCGCAACACCACACCAGCCTCCTTGCTGTCAGAGTCAGCTACGATCCGCACAGGCTGCTGACGGGCCACAATATGAATATTGTATTTTCTAATGTCATTTTTGCAAGAGCATTTTCTTTCTGCATGCATTTTTATAAACAGGCTGGTGCAGTGGCCTAGAGGTGGGGCTCTCGCTGTGAGTTCGACCCTAGGTAGAGGCAGATATTTCTCTCTCTGGGCACGATGAGTATATATCTGCAGGAATATAATTCCTCATTGATGACAGGAAGGGCATCCAGCCAGTAAACACTCAGGTCCATTCAGTTGCCCAGACTCCACCCCGCAAGGGATCATGGGGTCATTAAAAGACGATAATAATGATGCATTTTTATAAGCCATGTTTTGATGGGAGAACCACACTGCACTGTTCAGATAAATGTTAAATGTCGAAATATTGTGATGCTTCCCATTTAAAAAAAACTGAAGAAGATCTTGTTCACTTTTAGTATATTTTGATCACAACTATGTACTATTTTCATTGTACTATTATATGATGATGGTCATTTTGTTTCATCAAATGAAACCTTTTTAATATGCATATAAGTTCAGGAAGAACAGATTAAGTTAAATTTGCACTGAAATGCAAACCAAAAAGCCTCAGTAATTTTTTAAAATCAGTGTAGTGATATGTAAAAGCATATTATATCATTCAAACAATATTACACTATTTTCCCCCCAGAGAAATTAACTGCAAATCAGTCGTTCATTCTGATATAAATGGCAGTTTGTTTTATTTAGGCTGAAATTTTGAGGAGTTGAAGCCCAATTCATCCAAAAGGCACAATTTGGGAAAGCAATGTTGATTTATGAAGGTATTCTAAATATCCAATTATCTATCATTATAATTGTTTCATTCTTTGCTCCACACTAAGGATATTGTCTAAAGGGTAGGTTGGTGTGTAACACAGAAGATGACTGTGGTGACTTCTCTGACGAAGATAATTGTGATGAAACCAAACGCCCACCCTGTGGGGATCGTGTCATAGACGTATCAGAGCTTGGAAGAACAGCTGGACAAGGGTGAGTTTTAGAAAATGAGAAGAATACAAATGTTTATTTATTTATACATTGCATTTATATATGCTTCCATCTTATAATAAACTCTGGGCATCTCCCAATCAGAAATGAAACCATATTGAAGCCATATTAAAACTATTAAAAACGAAATGCATAGAAACAAAAACCTGACACCAGGTCCGGCTTCCAAAGTGCAGAATTGCATGTCGTGCTATCTGCTAAATCTGGATTCAAAATGGCTTCCAAGAATGCAAAGCTTCTGCGGACCTGGCTTGATTCCACCAGGCTCCCAATTCTATCTGACTTTTTTATGAACACACACACACACACACACACACAAAACTATCAAACTAATTTGGTTTTTAAAAAGCTACCTGAAAATTTCAAGACTGGCTTTTAATACCAATAATGTTAAAATAATTTTAAAATGGTCATCCTGCAAAGCAAAGTGTCAGCTTTCAGTGTCATCTTAATTTCTCATAATGCCCTTGAGTTGAACACTAAATAAGTCGTGACATTTTTTAAAAAAATTACTTGGAGCATTTGTATGTCACCCAAAGTGATATGGTAATGACTTTAGGTGGTATTCATTAAAACCAAAGGAAATTCAAATGACAATTAAAATCAACAAGATCAACAAAAACAAAAGTCACTGGAACATTAGCATACAATCAAGACCCATCAAACACACACTTTACCTCTCAATTGGGGAGCTTTGCATCTTGAAATGCTCCTTGATTTTGCTCTGACGTGTCATGTACGTATCTTCTGCTAAGCTTCACTAAGTTTTTCGGTCATGGATAAGACATTTCTGTGATGATAAAATTGAACATATAATAAAGATCAGCAGATGTGTAGTGCCACGGATCTTTTTATCAATCCTTTCCTGCTAATGAATTTACCATTCTGCTTTCTGGTCCTACATTTGGACATCATGAAGATATAAGTTCTTCATTATTTTTTTAACTGTTCCTACTTTGACCTGCCCATCAGAGATTAGAATTTTGCCCATCAGAGATTAGAATTTTTTACCTGCTAACCTTGGCATCTAATGGATGTTCACAAAGCCAGCTTTATTTCTTCTGTTTTGTACTGCTGCCATGGTAGCAGCATGCCAGCTTAGAACAAACTTAAAACTAGAGCAAAACAGAAATCTAAATACAAAGTGGAATAACTCTTTGCAGCTTTGCAGACTAGCGGTTGGAGGGGGCAGAGGTGATGGTTCTGCACAAGCGGCTAGCAAGCATGCATGCGCATTAGGGGTGGGTTCTACTTACCTTTACTACCAGTTTGCAATGGGGCCACATGCACAGAAGCTTCCTGATGAGGTCGGGGTTGGTGGGGCGGAGCCTCCCGCCGGTTTTACTACCAATTCTATAGAACCGGTCCAAACCGGGGGCAACCCACCATGGATGTGCATGCAACTCCATTTGCACAAGAAAATGGAGTGTGCACATGTGTTCACCCGCTGCTTGTGCAAGGGAAGATGTGTGCGTGCACATGCACACTTGCCGACCATTTCTGTGGCCTGGTTGCAATCTGCTTGTGGCCCACTAGTGGGCCATGGCTCACAGGTTGGGGACCCCTGCACTAAATTATTTTCTAACTAAATGAAAACCTGTTCCAAATAATCCTGGTCTGCTTTAGAAAGGGGCTTCAGATTAATCCAGTGTAGCCCATTAATGGAGGAATATAGTATAAGCATGTAAATTCATGTGATAATGTGGATTGTGATCCTTGAAACAGTATGATTTTATGAGTTCCTGAAAGCATACCTTCTCTGTTGTGGCACTTGCCCTCTGGAGTGACATCCCGTTCTGACTTTTGAACAGCGATGGCTCAGTGGCTAAGACGCTGAGCTTGTCGATTGAAAGGTCAGCAGTTCAGCGGTTTGAATCCCTAGTGCTGCGTAATGGGGTGAGCTTCCGTTACTTGTCCCAGCTTCTGCCAACCTAGCAGTTTAAAAGCGCGTTAAAAATGCAAGTAGAAAAATAGTGACCACCTTTGGTGGGAAGGTAATAGTGTTCCATGCGTCTTTGGCGTTTAGTCATGCCGGCCACATGACCACGGAGATGTCTTTGGACAGTGCTGGCTCTTCGGCTTTGAAATGGAGATGAGCACCATCGCCTAGAGTCAGGAACGACTAGCACATATGTGCAAGGGGAACCTTTACCTTTACCTATAACGATATAACTGAGAAAATCATTAAATACTTGATTGTTCTCCCAGGCTATAGAAAAGGGTCATTGTGGAGTCCACACTATTTTGGTTTTTTATTAGTCTTTATTGGCCAACTATGATTCTTTTATAAGTTTTCTTTTTTGTTACTTGTAAGCCATCCAGAGACATTGAAGAGTCCGATATCCTGACAGCCAAGTTAAATGATTACTAAATGAAATCTTCCAGACAATAAGTGTTTAATATTTAAGGCGCAAAAAAATAAATAAATACTTTTTGTTTGGGTGAGAGCCAGTCTGGTCTGTGGTTAACCAAGTGTTCTGCCCCAGCTCCGGATTTCCGAGGATATTGACACACACCAACAGTCCTTATCAAATTTATTAAGTAGCAAAAATAAACAAGACTGGCAAAGGTTGGCAACCAGCCCAGAAAACAAGATATGATAAACCAAAATACTCTGATAATAATACAAGTTGTTTCCAGCAAGAACGCACCAGCTGCGTGCGACTTAAATAGGCTAAGGGAGTGGCCAATTATCCTCAAGCCCTACTCTCGAGTAGACCTCCTCCTCCTGAGTAGCCACTCCTGCCTTTTGGCAGCCCTGCATGCCCGAGCATTGAGGAGAGGCTCCTCCACTTCGCTTCTCCACTGGAAGGAGCCTCTGGAGGTTCTGAAGGCCCTGGCTGAGTCTCTGCCTCTGGCACCACATCCTCTTCAGGATGGGAAGCGCTGGCTGTGCAGGCTGCTGGTGTGACACCACACCAGCCTCCTCTTCATTGGGATCAGCCACGATCCGCGCAGGCCGCTGGCGGGCCACAACACCAGGAGACTCACTTCTAGTCCCACCATAGGCATGAAAACTGGCTGAGTAACTTTGAGGTGGTGCCCATGATGCCAGGCTCAGATGACAAGCTGGTCTATCACTTCCTGTTGCAACCAATGGAACACTTGGTTAGTTGGTTAGTTGGTTGGTTGGTTGGTTGGTTGGTTGGTTGGTTGGTTGGTTGGTTTCTGAAAAAAGCAGAGCTTGCACTTGGAGAAAATTCTAGGAAGAAATTTTTTTTTGGTATTTTGTGTATATTATTGATTCGTATTTTGCTGTTCCTCCTTGTTATTTCTGATAGTATATGATAGTGATGGTGAACCTATGGCACGCATGCCAGAGGTGTCACACAGCGCCCTCTCTGTGGGCATGCGAGCTGTCGCCCCAGCCCAGCTCCGCCATGCATGTGCGTGTGACTCCCGCTGGCCAGCTGGTCTTCGGGTCTCTGCTGCGCATGCACGGGGATGTGGGGCACATGTGGGGGGGGTTGCGTGCATGCAGGGTTGCACATACATATGTGGGGGGCACATGCAGGGGGCTGCATGTGCATTGCATTTTGGGCGTTCACGCACACATTCATGTGCACGCCCTTGCGCTTTGGGCACTCGGTCCGGAAAAGGTTAGCCATCACTGGTATATGACATTTAATAATACAATGAAATGGTTGTGTATTAATAACATAACTTTTCTTGCTTCCTTTTCTTGAAGTATTAATGTGCTGGGAATGAAACCAGCTCAAAAACCATTTTACAATGAGTTCTACAATGGCATCTGTGACAGAGTCCGGGATGGGAACACGGCGACTTATTACCGCAAGCCATGGAATACGGCTTTCCTCAGTTATGAAGTAAGCTTCTTTGTGTAAAGCAGAGTTTTGTTTTGCATCAAAAGGTAAAATCCACTTTGCCTCAGCCTCAGCTTCTAAAATGTCAATTATGTGTGTCCATATAATTTTCTTGGCAACTTTACATAGATGTTTTGCCATTGCCTTAGGATTTTCTTTAAAATTGCCTTGTCTAGGTTACATCCCTGGAATCCATTCAGATAGTCTGCAGTTCTGGTCCAGCTTTGCTTTTTGAGATTAGCCAAGAACAACCAGGTGCTTTTGTTGCAAAAAAAAAAAAACAAATAGGCAAAAACAAAATGCAGCACTGTCTAGTTTTTTTGGGGGGAGGGAGAACTAGATCTATAGCAAGGTCCCCCTATGCATATTTGATAATTCAGACTTCCCATCACAGCGTTGACCATAAGCATTGGGATTGACACACCCAGAAGTTCCCATCAACTGTAAGGGTCTTGTTAGGGTCTTCCGTAATAGGGTCTCCCTTTTAATATCAGTCTGATGGTGGCTCATCAGACTGATAGCATTGTGATTAACACCAGCTGTCTGCAATTACTGTAAATTCGAATCTCGCCAGGCTCAAGGTTGACTCAGCCTTCCATCCTTTCTAAGGTAAGTAAATTGAGGACCCAGTTTGTGGGGGCAATAAGCTGACTTTGTATAAATATACAAAAAGTATGAAGGCTATTGCTTAACGCATTGTAAGCTGCCCTGAGTTTCTGGAGAAGGGCGGCATATAAATCAAAAAAAAAAAAAGGAAAGAAAAGAAAAGAAAAGAAAAGAAAGAAAAGAAAAGTAAGGGTCTTGCATGAAAACAGGGTGAAACAATAACTGATGACCTCCTTTTACTGGTCCACAATAGAAAGCGTCCTCACTTATTGCATCACAGTATGGCATGCCGGTTTGACAGCCGCAGATAAAAAAAACATTACAGAGGGTGGTGAGCACAGCATAAAACATCATGGGCTGTCCCCTGATACCACTAGATGAGATCACTAGGCCTCACTGCCTTAGAAGAGTGAGGAAAATTCTCAGGGATGACTCACACCCTGATCACCACTTCTTTACCCTCCTACCATCGGGAAGGAGATATAGAAGCATAGTCAGCCTCACAAACAGCCTGAAGAACAGTTTTTATCCGTGGGCTGTCAGACTCCTGAATGCGAAATAACATCATAACTATGTAGTACAATGGACTTGCAGGGCCGGCGCAACATGTAACATGTTGACATGGGTGCAATAGGACTGGGTGTTTGTTAATTTGATTTATTGGGTTAGGGATTTTCTGTCTTCACTGTGAGTTGTATTGTGTTGGGGGGGTGCACTGAGGGGGCTCCACCAATCTCATTGTACATATGTTGTACAGTGACAATAAAGGTTGTTGTTGTTGTTGTTGTTGTTTGTTGTTGTTGTTGTTGTTGTTGTTGTTATTATTATTATTATTATTATTATTATTATTATTATTATTATTATTATCCTTTGTATGGCTGAAGGGCATGAGTTATAAATATTTTGTTAAATGCCCTTAACACCATAGAGATTTTTTTAAAAATTCCTATGCTGGAAATACAATTGGTGTTCTGTGTATAGGTGTTTTAATTTATATATAATGAAAGCAAGCAGCTTAGTTCTTTATCAAAAATGTGGAATTTTAGACATTCAGACATTTACCTGAAGACACAAGGGATCACCACACTGCCAAATTATATTTGTTATTGTTCAGTCAGAGGTCTGAAGAAGAAATAGTCTCCCGTTGGCCTAAGCATCCCCTTATGAGTCTGTTTAGTATAGAAGATAGCAGTTCATGTACTTTTCACCCCTCACAGGTTTTGATGATTTTTATGGCCACAGATATACAGTTCAGGCTATGCAGAGCAATCTGAAGGTCTCCTAATTTTGGAATGGGGATGGCAGGATAAGATGATCTCAAAGTAATCATCCAAAATATAGACCAGAGATGTGGACGGAGATGTGTCCATCCCAATAGCTCCTGTTATCTCTGTCCATTGGCTCTTGATCCACCACTGGACATAGCCTTCTTCCAGGGGTGAAATGCTCCCGGTTCGGACCGGATAGGGCGATCCGGTAGCGATTGTGGCATGTGGTTCAGAGAACCAGTAGCGATGGTGGCGCAAGGCTCCGCCCACCCGCCCGGGTGTCGTTACTTCCTGGTTTTAACCAGGAAGTAATGTGTTTTTTACCTTCTGCACATGCGCAGAAGGTTTTGCGCATGTGCAGAGGGTCTGTGTGTGCTGCATGCAGCGCGTGCACTTCCGAACTGGTAAGGAAGGTAAGTAGATTTCACCTCTGCCTTCTTCCCTCCCCATGGTATATTATAGAAGAACCCCTCATTTCCCCAGAAATTGGGGTTGATCACTTACAGTAAGGAAACTAACAGGAATGATTTTTAAAAAGAGAAGCATCCCACACCATTCACCAGCGGTGCTGAGGCAAAAATCTGATTTACTAATGTCTTGTCTGAACTAAGCCCATCATGAGTTCCCACAGGGTGTCATCATAGCCTAAGTGTTGTCCATCATTACCTAACTGTTACTCGGCCATTTGACTGTATATTTTCTGCCTTTCAAGACAAGAGGTGACAAAAAAATTACAAGTGAATTCTACAGCGACCAAGCATCAACAATGAAACAAATATTCAAAACAAAATCACACTCTCTAGATGCGAGCTTCTCTCTTCAACTGCAATCAACTTCGTTCCCTCTATCAGGTGGCTTTGAGACAAGCGTAAATTTTTCCAAATCATCCAACCTGAGTGACTTCTTAGAGAAAACCAAAGGAAAGGTAAGCTGTTAAAACAAATCATAGGTAAATATGAATTATTTTGGGGGAAACAAAAATTCAAACGTCAAAAGGAGCACTGAACCGTGGTGATGCTCAGCACAAATCACCCCTTTTTCTTGGATCTGTTCAGCCAATACTCACCTGCATTTCTTCTTTCCCAGAGACTTTGGCTTTACCCAAGTTTCCCAGAGACTTTGGCTTTGCCAAAGTTTCCCAGAGACTTTGGCTTTGTCAAAGTTTCTGACTCTCTGTCTTTAACCAGCTGTGTCGTTCCTGACCTGGGTCTTCTGTGTAGATACCATCTCTTAGGGACCTTGCTTTTCTTCCTACAAGCAACCACCTGTTGACTTTTTTTGCCCTTCTTTGACCAATATCTGACCACTGGTCTCCATACTCACATCAACTTTACTCCCCAAATAGCTCTCCAGCCATTCCCTTCTACAATATTTTTTGTTGTTTACAATTTTTCTCTTCATTCTTTCCCTCTTTTTCTCTTCTCTCAATCTCCATTGTTGGGTTAGACTGGCAGTATGTCTCCCATCGCAGGGCTTTCGTGCATAACACCTCTATCCAAGGTTAGACCAATGGGAATATTGTCGACCAGTATTGGTTAGCAGTTATTTCAGCCAGTGGTGGGTTTCTACCGGTTCGCCCCAGTTTGGGAGAGCCAGTAGTGGCAGCGGCGGGAGGCTCCGCCCACCCAGCCGGATGTCATCACAAATGCTCTGCGCATGCGCAGAAGCACTGCGCACTCGCGCACGCTACCAGTTCCGAACCGGTAGCAAAGGTAAGAGGAACCCACTACTGTCATCAGCCTACATGATGGAACCAAGGGTAGACTGGAGCTTCTCCCCTTTTTCTCTTTCTATTTCCTGATTCACATCAGCACAACAGTAACCATACAAAGCCACTAAAAACACATGCCATCTTAGTGTCTTTCATCTAGGTCTTAATGTTTAAAACTAAGAAGAAATTTCCTGACAGATCAACCAGTGGAACAACTTGCCTCCAGAAGTTGTGAATTCTCCAACACTGGAAGTTTTTAAGAAGAGATCGGAAAACCATTTGTCTGAAATTCTATAGGGTTTCCTGCCTGAGCAGGGGATTGGACTAGAAGACTTCCAAGATCCCTTCCAACTCTGTTATTCTAAATTCTAGTGATGGCTTTGTCTCCTTGGGGAAGTAATCATGATTTCCAAATGCTTGTTTACCTGGGGATTTTCAAAATAACAGCTATCTCTAGGCACCAAAGTTCTTGAATATTAATTCTAGTTAATTACAAGCTTTAGTAGTAGTATGCGCTTCTTCAAGGATTCTTCAATTTATTACAACAATAAAGGATAGCAATACATAATTCGGTAATATTTCCTAGACCACTCCATGGTAAAACTGAGTTTTGTCTGGAAAAACACCTGCTCTTTTCAGGGCCCAGCATCTCCAAGAAAAATGGTGATGGGCATCAGAACTGGACACCATGCTTAGACAATCACTGTCATGGGTGATGGACAACCATTAGATATAGCCATTTGAAATGCCTAAAAGTTAGAAGTACATCAGCAAGCAGGATTGTGATTTCCATAAATTTTGCACATTCCAATAACTCCTAATTTCTTAGTGATTTGTGTATAAGATATGTGTCTTAAATAACCAGCTACAGAGTGGTATAGAAAAGAGAAGATGCCTAGAATCATTTGCTGAAAGTAGAGATTATTAAACTGGATTACCTTTAGGACTTCCTGTTTTTCAAATTTATCTAAATCTGCCTTTATGGAAGAGATGGAAGAGTTCTACCCAGTGATGGGTTGCTACTGGTTCGCCTTGGATCGGGTGAACTGGTAGCGGCGGCAGAAGAGTCGCGCGCATATGCACAAGCGAATCAGTAGCAAACCAAATTGAAACTCACTACTGGTTCTACCTCCCATGTTTGAGTACCGTATGTTGTCCATTATGGGCAAGAATTATCTACAGATTCTTGTATGATCTGAGAACTGCCCATATAAACAAGCTTGCAGTAATTAGAAGACAGTGTGAAAGAATATTATAACTTAGATACTTAGATACAATAACTTTAATAACTTATATATATATTACTGTTTTCTGCTATAGAATTATGAGTATTTACATGTCAAATCTAATATACAACTGGGAACTTTCCAATTGCGAAAACGCAATTTGCGCTTGAGTGAGACATTCCTGGAAGATCTAAAGATGTTGCCCAGTACCTATGAGAAGGGAGAGTATTTTATATTTCTGGAAACATATGGAACTCATTATTCACAGAGAGGAACCATTGGAGGAAAATATGAGCTAATATATGTGTTGGATAACCGAACTATGACATCACAACGTAAGGACATAATGAAAGTAATCTCTTATAACCAAGAGTAAATAATGGGAAAACTGTCAATCAGGGCATCTGATTTCTGACCATCAACATGTTTTCTTTCAAACTGAGTTCTTCAAAAATCTTAATTTGGATAGGTTCAGGACACCAGTTGTATCTAATGCTTATTAACCCAGTATGATATTAAACATCTTATGATGTTTATACTGAGCTGCCATTAGTTTTGTTGTTGATTTCTTGACTTCAGAGGCAAGCAATGGATTCCCTGTACAGGTAGTCCTCAACTTACAACCGGTTGTTTAGTGACCATTCAAAGTTACAACAGACCCCTGAAAAGCTGCATACAACCTGGTTTTGAAATTATGGCTGCTGTAGCACCCCCTCCCCACCCACCCACCGCAGTTATGAGGGGAATAAAGAGTAGATTTGCCCTTACAACCAATAGCAGGGACACTGCAGCATCTATTACTCCATAAGCATGTTGAGAAAGGAAAGCAGTCCACTCTATCACCTGGTACTCTTGGCTCCATCCTGAATGGGGATGCCATTTTAAGAGAGGCTCCAATGAATTGAGGCAGCTCCTACAATGGCACCTGCTTCCAGGACACCCCCATGTGGCCTGCAGGGTTGCAAGGCATCAAATGGCCTGCTTTCCTTCCCCATTGCAAGTTCCAAAGCTCTGGATATCTACAGCAGATGAGTGATTGGTGAAAGGGTTTGGGGTGGAAGGAGTGGGGAGGAGGGTGTAGGACCTGATGGGGTGGGAAATTGGAGTGCGGGGACCCTGAGTGGTGGGGTGCCTCAGGATGGGGGAGGCTTTGGGAGGTCTGGGGTAGGGAGAAGTTAGAAAGGGTGCCAGGCAGGGGTGGGTTCTACTTACCTTTCCTACCGGTTCGCAATGGGGCCGCGCACCGTTCTGTGCATGCACAGAAGCGTTTTGATGACATTGGGGTGGGTGGACGGAGCCTCCCTCCGATTTTACTACCGGTTCTATAGAACCGGTCCGAACTTGGGGCAACCCACCACTGGTGCCAGGGAGCCTTATTGTATGGTTTTTACCCACCACCTACCTTTTACAATTGTCTTTGCCTCAGAGGGCTTATTAACCCATTGTGATATTAAGCTTGAAAGGAATTTTATTTGCATTCAGTAAATTCTTGACATTTTTCTAAGCCCCATCAGCCTTTGAATAGCTCTATAAGATAATGAGGAATGGTTCACTGCTTCTTAGGGGGAAATTCCTTTACAGATGAATTCACATCTGCCCAATTCCATGGATGAGCCAGCTTAAAACTGGTCTATGACTTCTTAAGCACTTTTCCCTACATGCATTGTTTTGAAGGGGGGAAAAATTGGATGCCCTGATGCCCGAGTCCTTGATCTATGCCACATTGAGGCATACATATATATATCAGTCTTTCCCCAAAATGGTGCCTTAGAAATGTGATGGTTATAACTCTCAATAAGATGTGGTGGCTCAGTGGTTAAAGTTGCTGAGCTTGTCAGCTGGAAAGCTGTCAGATGGGTGCAAGACCTGAGCACCACATGCCAGGGTGAGCTCCTGTTACCTGCCCCAGCTCCTGCCAACTTGGCAGTTCAAAAGCATGCAAATGTGAGTAGATAATTAGGTACAACTTCAATGGGAAGGTAACAGCGTTCTGTGCACCTCAACATATAGTCATGTTAGCCACATGACCATGGAAATGTCTTTGGGTGACACTCAGCTAAGAAACAGAGATGATCACTGCTGCCCCCTAGAGTCAGATTTTATAACTTCAGAGTTTATAATTCTCAGAATTCTTATCCTGTATGGAAATTGTATTCTAACATATCTGGACAACATCAGATAAGGGGAAAAGATGGGACAAATTACACACTAGAGATCGTTAATCTGCACTTCTGATTTGAGAACCCTTATATTAGAAGTTGGTTCAGATCTCTAGTAAGAGCTACTTGTCTACCTGTTGCAAGGGGCAGGGAAGAAAGAGACAGAGAGATGACAAAATTAAAAAATAAAGAGACATAAAGTAAAAACATTTCTATTTCTACTGTTGACTATGGCTGCACCCATTGCTTACTTCATCACTTCCCACTTGCCACCTCCTTCAATGGATATAAAATCAAGAGTTTCCAACTAACAATGTTTTAATTAAAAGATATAAAAACATTGCAAAGTAAATATGCTATTTACTTCCCACCTGTAATCATTTTTACTGACTGTATTTTCAGGGATCACCAGAAAAGATGTAAACGAATGCCTAGGCTTTAATTTAGATCTTGGGGCCAATATATTTTCCGCAGAAGTCAAAGCAAAGATTAAAAATGAAAAATGTAAAGACGAAAAGTTGGAAAAAAGTAAGTATCTCAGCTCCTTTTTCTGACATTTTGATCCCTAAATTTGCATTTTAATTGGTACATTGTCCCTCATACTGGAACTAAGTTGTATTGTTGGAATAGGTCAATCATGTACTCTATAATCACATAAAGTAATAAACAATACTAAAGTATATATCAATGCCAGTATATTTCACTAGCATGCCAATCATTATATAATGCTATGATATAGTAGTAATGTTTATGTCATATATATTTGTGTGAATGGACTTTCATGAATGTTAAAATATATTAGACTTGCAAAAAGAAAGCAAAGAAGGCAGACATTTTTGCACAGGAAGATTTCAACAAATGCAATGTATGGAAAATGAAGAATGGAGAATGAAGAATGCATCAAAGGGACAATAAGTTATATTTCTCTTGAAGAAATGAGGCAACCTCCCAGACATGTGAAAAGTGCCGAGGTGGGACTGGCCACATCTCAGCCAATTGGTCAAGTCTCTTTGGAAGTATAATCACAGAAAAGTGTAATCTATGGAAACCCTCATGTAGAACAACCTTCTATATGGGTGTCCTACCTTGAGAATTAAGGTATAAGATAGCCTAGCCAAACTAGATTTTGAATTGGGTAGGTGCTACTGGGTAAGGGAAGTTTTCAGTTCAAAATGTAAACAAGAATGGTTGAGCGCGCATTTGTTTTTAGGTGTCTGAGTCACTGAAACAGAACAGTATTTGGAGATACATTCCGATATCTGCCATTGACATAAAAGGAGTGGGGCTTCAGTCACATAGTTGAAGCTGCCATCTTGAATTTTCTCTCACATATACAAACATGCCCTCTTTCTAAATGTGTGCGGCGTATTATTCAACAAAGGCAAATTTATATCTGTATATCTCTAGGTGATGAAATAATTGAAAAGCGATCAAGTAAAATGTCTATTCTAATAAAATGCCTGGTCATTCAGGCACCATGGGATTCAAGCAGGAATCCCTGAATTATTCACTGAGTCACTAGTATACAAGTTGGAATAGGGAATACCAAACCACCTGAAAGATGACCCCGGCAAATCAGTTGCAACCAACAAATATACAAGATTATACTTCCTCAATCTGGGCAAATATAGTTGGTAGAAACTCACAGTTACTCCATTTTCAACCATAGTAAACCCCATCATTTTCCTTTCTTCGAAGTTATAGTGAAAAAATAATAATTTTCACTTATATCATCTTCATTAAGATAATTTTCTTCATCACCCAGGGAAGTTGTTCTGGTAAGCCACTCTTCCTCTTTTTTCATCTCCTATTCTTCTCTCTTCCAGATTCTACGAATGAAAAAAGCCGGATTATCCAAGATGTAGTCTCTCTGATTCAAGGTGGGACAACAGCTACTTTAACAAAGTTGAATGAAATGCTTTCTTCAAATGTCAATTCAGTCGATGTCGAACAGTACGTTGAATGGGCTGCTACATTACCTCAAGCTCCTGCAGTGATCAAACAACAGGTGAGAGGATTTTCCTCTGTTAATAAATTGGAGATTTTTTTTTAAATAAATGTGAACCTATAAATGAACAGGTTTCTTCTTTCTTGAAGAAACATTTAAAAGGTAAAAGTTTTTCAGAATCAAAGATTCTAGTCAAATACAGGTAGTCCTTGAGTTACAACAGTTTGTTTAGTGATCATTCAAAGTTACAACGGCACTGAAAAAAGCTACTGTTATGACTGTTTTTCAAACTTAGGATCCTGGCAGCATCCCCAAGGCCACATGATCAAAATTCTTATATTTATATTTATTTATATAAAATATTTATAATGGTTGCAGTGTCCCGGAGTTATGGGACTTTCTGAGACCTTCTGACAAACAAAGTCAATGGAGAAGACAGATACACTTCTAACAGTAACAGAGTTGGAAGGGACCTTGGAGGTCATCTAGTCCAACCCCCTGCTCATACAGGAGACCCATACTAGAGATTCGAACCGCTGAACTGCCAACCTTTCTGATCGACAAGCTCAGTGTCTTAGCCACTGAGCCCAACTGTGTTACAACTGCAGCCAGCCACTTAACAACTGCGGAAAGAAAGGCTGTAAAACAGGGCAAAATTCACTTAACAAATGTCTCACTTAGCAACAGAGATTTGGGACTTGGTTGTGGTCATAAGTAGAGGACCAGCTGTAAACCTTTCCATGAGGGTTTCTGGGAATGGTTTGCTACAGCTTTCTTCCAACACTTAATATTCTAAAGTCCTGGGAGTTCCTAATGAACTTACCTACCTACCTTCCTCCCTCCCTCTCTCCCTCTTTCCTCATTTATTTATTTATTTATTTATTCATTCATTCATTCTTCATTTCATTGCTCATGCAAGACTTTTGAAAACTCTGGACCTCTACTTTAGTTTTCCCAGCAACCTTTATATTTATATGCAGCAGTAGCAGCAACAAGTCTGCAATTAGCAAATATTATAAAGTCGGCATCTTTAAGAATCAGAGTATTTACTTAGGAAATGTGAATATTACTACAGTAGAGCATAGATGTTCTCAGGATGAAGTGCTATATTCTGCACAGAACTGCGTAATAATGGTAAGCAATGGTTTAAACTGAAAAAAATGCACCCATACATGTGGTTAAATATTTTTGCAGATGGCCCCAATTTCTGAACTTATCCCACTGAATATCCCAGACTCCCGAATGAAGAAAGTAAATCTGGACAGAGCTGTAGAGGATTATGTGGCTGAATACAACGTATGTAAATGCAAACCTTGTCTACATGGTGGGACGGTGATGCTGCTAGACGGAAAGTGTGAATGCGCCTGCACTCCATTTTACAAGGGAGACGGCTGTGAAATACCTGCTTCAGATTTGATACCAGGTTAGAAGTCATTCAGTGACTTACCATATATTTTAATGGCTCTCTTAGCTCTACTGTGTTATTTAAAAATATAAGAAAACGTAAATTGTAAGCAAATAAAATAATAGAGACTATTTCATTAAATAAAATCCATAACCCAATCAGCGGCAGTCAAATCAAAGCCATCTATGATACAAATCAGAAAATGCTACCAATTATTCTTCACTGAGTAGAATTGCAACTATGAATACATTTATTTATTTATTTATTTATTTTATTTTGTCGAGTATGTATTAGACAATATATATAAGTATAAGCATGAATTGAATACATAAAATGAATACAATTAAAGGGAACATTAGGACAGGGACGGTAGGCACTCTGGTGCTCTTATGCACGCCCTCTTAGGAATGGGGTGAGGTCAACAGTAGCCAGTCTAAGGTTAAAATTTTGGGGGTTTTGAGATGAAACCACAGAGTCAGGTAGTGCATTCCAGGCATTGACCATTCTGTTGCTGAAGTCATATTTTCTGCAATCGAGTTTATAGAAGAATTTGAATCAGGGGTGAAATGCTCCCAGTTCAGACCGGATCGCCCGATCCGGTAGCGATGGCGGCGGGTGGTTCAGAGAACCGATAGCAAAAATCCCTGCCTCCCCCCCCCCCCATGCCCAGCTGAGCAGCGCGATCATCAGAGGCTTTTTTTTTTTTACTTTTAAAAGCATTTTTCCTACAACCTCTTCCGATGAAAAAATACTTTTAAAAGTTAAAAAAAAAAAGCCTCTGATGATCGCGCGGCTCAGCTGGGATCATCAGAGGCTTTTCAAAGCATTTTTTTCTGCAACCTCTTGGCCAAAGAGGTGGTAAAAAAATGCTTTGAAAAGTCTCTGACGTTCCCAGCTGAGTTCCCTGATTGGCAGAGAGGCATTTTTTAAAGAGCCTCTCTGACGATCCCAGCTGAGTTCCTGACCGGCAGAGAGGCTTTTCAAAGCATTAGAAAAAATGCTTTGAAAAGTTTTTTTTAAAAAAAGTTGGCCACACCCACCCAGTCACATTATCCCACCACCACCAAGCCACGCCCACAGAACCGGTAGTAACCGATTTTACATTTCACCCCTGGTTTGAATGCAATTAGAACAAAGCTAATGTCTATACAGGGTAAATAAGAATTTTCTTCCATAGATTTACAATGTCCTCTTATTGTTTTGACCATGTCCACACACTTTACTAAAGTATGTACTGTTTAATCATTGTTTCTTGGAGGGGAGGGGGAACAATTGGTTGATACAGGTTTATGCAGTAAGTTAGCCCAAATAGCCAATCAATATACAATTAAGGTATACTGTGTGACTGTGAGATTCTGAAGGTAGATGGAGTTATTTTTGAAGTTCTGAATGTTCTGAAGTTAGACAAATGCTTTCTGATCCTGATCCAGCTGATCCAGCCGTTCATGGGAGCTGGAGCTGCTGGTCTAACTGGTCCACCTGTCAGCAAGGACAACGCCGGCGAACAAGAAAATGTGATAATCCTGCCCCTGGATATAGGGGCAAGTCATGCCCTGGAGCAAACTCGGAACCAGGCTATTGTTAATTGCAGAAGACTACTAACAGGTTTGTAGCTTCTGGATATGTATAATGAATATGGTACAATTGTAATATAAGACTTTGGGACGCTTTGGATTTAACGCTTCTGGAAATAGCTTATGCACTTCCTATGGAGAAATGAAACTAATGAAGGATTTGTTGGTCAGAGAGGAGGGAGGGAGGGAGGGAGGGAGGGAGGGAGGGAGGGAAGGAAGGAAGGAAGGAAGGAAGGAAGGAAGGAAGGAAGGAAGGAAGGAAGGTACGAGAGGGAAGTTCAAGACAACAAACAATAGCAAGAGGAAGGGAAGTTCAAGAGAATCCTCCAATAGCAACCCTGTGAGTTAAATTTGGCTGAAAGAGAATGATTGGCCCAAAGTCATCAAAGGAACATCTGTAGGCAAAGGTCAACTTGAACCAGACTCTGCTCAGTCCTAGTCCAACTCCTAAACTGTATGTGTTGCAATGTTTTTAGGATCAGACTCAATAAAGATAATAAAGATTAGAGGTATATATATATTTCTCTTTAATCATAACAGGCATTCTATATTCACTGAATATTCACAGATAGAAGCTAGGAAAATGGTGAGGGTGGCTCCTTATATATACAAAGGGCGGAGTCAAGGATGGGAGTGGTGAATTATGAATACATTAGGAAACAAAGAATAAGTTAACCCCCGATATCCCATATATACATTATTTACACATTAGGGAATAAGGCATTTACATCTGACAAATCCCCCTCTAAATGCCGGTTCGCTATACAACACCAATTACATTCAGATTCAGGACAATATAAGACATATAATTTTGAAGTTAAATATTTGTGCTGTTTAGAAGGTAAAGGCTTCGTTAATATGTCAGCTAATTGTTCAGAGGTATCACAATGCACTGCTTTGATAAATCCATCTTGAGACAATTGTCTCACATGTTTAAACTTTATATCTATATGCCTGGATCTTTGTCCAATGGCATCGGATCTGGATATTTCAATGGCTGCTTTATTATCTTCATGCATAACAAAAGGTAAAGCAGGTTTTTTCCAGACATCTGAAATCAAATCATTAAACCATACAAGGTTATTTGCAGCTTTGGATAAACAAACATATTCCGCTTCTGTGGTTGAAGTGGCTACCAGTTCTTGTTTACCAGTGTACCAGTAAACTGGACAGTTATTTAATAGAAAAATATAACCAGAAGTGCTCTTTCTGCATGATATATCTCCAGCCCAATCCGCATCTGCGTAACAAGTAAGTTTTGGTTCTTTGTCATTACTAGGTTCTAATACTAAACAAAAGTCTAATGTATTTTTTAGATATCTTAGAATTCTTTTGACAGCTTCCCAATGATACATAGTTGGTTTACTAACATGTCTGGACAATAAATTGAGAGGTAATGCAATATCTGGCCTGGTCCAATTAGATATATAAAGAAGTGAACCTATGACTGATCTATAAAATGTATTATCTTTGAATTCAGGGGAAGACTCATCAGTGTTTCTAAGGAAATCAGTTTGCATAGGAGTGTCACATGGTTTAGCATTGTTTAAATTGCATTTGTTTAGAAGTTCAATAATCTTATCTTTCTGAGTAAGTTTGAATCCCCTTCTAGTTTTGTTAATTTGTACACCAAGGTATTTGTTTACTTTACCTAGAGATTTCAACGAAAAATGTTCGTTTAGCTTATTTACAAAGGTTTCTCTTCTCTCCTTGTGTTTTCCTATATATAAAATATCATCTACATAAATTAACACGAATTCAATGTGATCATCACTTTTTTTTACAAAGAAACAGTTATCAGCGGTGGTAGCGTTAAAATCCATGGTCTTAAGTACTTTTACCAAACAATCATACCATCTTTTGCCAGATTGTTTTAACCCGTATAGACTCTTGTTCAATAGCCAGATTTCATTCTTATTAGTGTATTGACTGTGTGGTGCCCTTACATATATTTCCTTATCTAGTTTTGCGTGTAAGTACGCAGTCTGTATGTCATATTGAAATACATCAAGATTGAGTGCAGATGCCACTACCAGAGCTGTTTTAACACTCTCTGTTCTCACTGTGGGGGAGTATGTGTCAGTATAGTCCTCCGGATACTTTTGTGCATAACCTTGTGCAACTAATCTGGCTTTGTATAGAGTATTGCCTCCTTCTAGATTCTTAATTTTATAAATCCACCTAGTACCTATGATTGTTTTATCTTTAGGTGCAGTTGCAGGTGTGAATACATTTAATCCTTGCAAACTTTCCATCTCTTTTTTCATAGCTAGTTCCCATTTTTCCTTTTCTTCATAAGGGAGTTTTAATACTTCCTCATATGTATTAGGTGTTATTTGTTCACCATCCATATGCATTATGTAATCTCTGTATTTACCTGGTATTTGATTTCTATTGTTTCTAATAGCTCTTTCAGGTTTGCTATGGTTGTCATGCAAATATCTTGCTTCCTTCTTTGTTAATGTGTCTGTCTTTATTTTGTGCTGACTATTTGTCCAAGTTCTGGTTTTGTTTGTACTTTTGTTGATATTTTGATTTTCTATTGTTCCTTCCTCACAAGATTTTGTATCTTTGCATTTATCTGGAAATATTTCATTAAGATGTAATTTAGACCAATTGGCTTGTTCATGGAACACAGCTGTTCTGGAGACTATAAATTTGTTACTATTATCAATAAATCTGTACCCTTTGGTGCCAGTTTCATATCCCATAAATCTTAATCTTCTGGATACGTTTTCTCCCTTTCTTCTCAACTGTTTAGGTATGTGTACGTCTGCAGTGACTCCAAATATGTGCATGTGTGCTATTTTGGGTTTCCTATTATACATCACCTCATATGGTGTTTTATTCACAATACTGGACCAGGTTCTATTTTGAGTGTAATTTGAATAATGTAAGGCTTCTGACCAAAATTGTTTGCCTAAACCAGCATCCTCTAATGTGCACCTAATCATGGTTTGTAGTGTGGAATTCTTTCTCTCTGCAATCCCGTTTTGGAATGCAGAAAATGGACTAGACGTGAAATGTAGCATTCCTCTATCCTTTAACCATTGGGAGAATTCTTTAGACATGAATTCACATCCCCTGTCTGTCATAATTTGTTTTATTCTGATATTATGTTGTGTTTCTATGCGTTTGTAGAATTCCTTAAATTTCTGAAAGGTTTCATCCTTGTGTTTTAATGTGTAAACAAAACCATAGCGACTGTAGTCATCTACTATTGTTAGGAAGTAACGTTTTCTATAAGTGATTGATGGAGTTAATGGACCAACTAAGTCCATATGTACTAAGTCAAAAATTTTGTTAGTTGATCTGTTGGATTTTTTTGGCCTGGGACTAGTTTTTAGTTTAGTGGATTTACATACTGAGCATTCCAAATAATTTTCACAATTTTTTATTTTGACACCTTCTGCGTGTTCAGTCATTTTTTGTACTACAGGAAAACTTGCATGTCCTAACTTCCTATGTAAGATGTGAGCACACTCATCATGAATTGGTTTACCTATTCTTGGTTTCTTCTCTTTGTGTGTATTTGTGTGATCATGAGATATTTTACATTCATCATTGTCACTGTTACTAACATTTTCATCATCTGCCTCAATACAATCTTCCATATTTGAATCAATGTTATGTAACCATCTTTCTTTTGTTACCAGATAGGGTAGGCCTCCTTTAATCATCACAGTGCCTACATTTGTTTTGTCCTTCTCTAAAGTTGCTTTCCCCTTTGAGAAAACTATATTGATGTCAGAATCTCTACTTAGTTTTATGACACTTAGTATGTTATGAGGTATTTCAGGAATTAACAATACCCCCTCTATTTTTCCTAGACCAGGCAATGTTATGTTTCCTCTGCCTAATACTTGAACCTTTTCTTGATTAGCTACCTTTATTACAAACTTATCTTCTGTAAATGAAGACAGAATATTTTTGTTATTAGTGGTGTGATTGGTTGCCCCAGAATCGATAAGCCAATTATTGTTCTCATTTTGTTGTGTTTTAGTGCTGTCTTGTTTATTTAGTCCATTCAGTGAACCAGATTTTCTCTCTTTTTGAATTTTCTCTACCCCCTCTACTTTCTCTGTAATTTGGTGGGCTTCTATATTTATATCTATCTGTGGAAGACTGTCTATAATTGTATCTGCTTCTATATTCTGGCCTATGTCTCTCCTTTGATATTTTGGGACAGTCTCTTCTATTGTGTTCCCTGGACCCACAATTATGGCATTTAAAAGCTTCGTTGTATTTTTCTTGGAAAGCTACCTTCCTAAAAGATTTGTGTTCTGTGTGATTGCTAGAACGATTTTTTCTTGAATTGTCTTCTGCTATCAATTTGTTAGATAGACTCTCTATGGATAAATATCCTAGATTGATGGTGTCTAAGTGTGACATAAAATTATCCCATGATGAATCAAGTGAATTGATAATAACACTTTTCATTGTTTGATCTGAAATCACTTCCCCCCTCAGATGCAGCTCAGCTCTTATTTTGTTTAGAGATATCAAATGCTCACTTATGGAAACCCCTGGTTTTACTCTGGAAGAAAAGAAATCCTTAACATTCTTAGTACATCTTGTAGTGGTATCGTGTGAAAACAGATTAAACATGCATTGAATTATTTCTGAAACAGTTAGGTTTGGTTTGATACTATGATACATTGCAGGAGATACGCTAGATATTATTAAGAAGAATGCTCTATGGTGTAAACAATCTATTTTTAAAGTCCAAGGTCTTCTTGGAGGACTAGTGATAAAGAATAGTAAATTTTCTTTCATAAAGACAACCTGGAGCTGTTGATACCACTCTTGCAAATTAATGCCATCAACTCTAAGTTTTGGGAAGTCACTGGGTAAGTTTCCCACATTATTTTGTCCATTACTTACAACCTGAGGTAGTCCGTGATCTCGCAAGTGCAGGAAATTGCAAAACGGCATGGGGATGCTCGCAACGAGTCTGCGCGGTTCTCTGGCCAGTTCAAGTCTTTCCGGACCGTCTACGTGGTTTCGCACATGCGCGTTGCTCATTTCTTCTTTGGCATCGTCGTGGAAGGTTCTCTCCATTTCAGCTCGTTCGCTCTGCTCCTCTTCAGACGAGTCGGTCTCTGGCTCGGTTTTAGGAGTTCTGATGGCGGCGACTGTTCTTCTCTTTCTCTTGTGTGCGTTGGTATTTGATCCGGTCTGCGGCGTGGGGCGGAATCGGCATGGCTCTCTGGGCTCGGGCGTCGTCGCTCTCGAAGTCAGGATGGGAGCGTGTAGGTCTTGAGGTATCGGCTTGTTCTCTTGCTTCTTCGTTGGCGCTTTGGAAATTTTTAATTTTGGCCCAAATGCAGCAAAAAGCGTCTTCATTGCTGATTTTATTTGGGATTTGGTTAAATCGTCTTCGCTTTCTGATTCGGGTTCTTCTGGAGAATTCGAATCTTCCTTTTCACTTTCGTTGTCTGATAACGTTTTTCGCGCCAGAAATTTTGAACTGAACATTTTGATTGGCTCTGCTTCGCTCCCTTTGGAGGCTCGTTGAAACCAAGATGGCTGCCATTCAAAATTTCGCGCGGTATCACATCTTTTCTTTTTCATAATGACTTTCTCTGTAGTCATATCACTCACAGTTTTTTGGTCTTTGGGTTTCTCCTTGACGATGTTTTTCTCTCTCGCTGCTCCGCTGTTTTTCAGTATTTCTTGGAGATTCGCGATGAGACTTTCATCATTCTTCTGGCTTTTTAATAGCTTCAATATTTCTGACCTGAGTTCGTTATTTTCTATTTCGATTTCCTCCTGGTCATTATTTTCATTTATTAGTTCTTCTTCTTCTGTGGTGTACTCTTCGGATTCTCTCGAAATCGCGTTTGTGGATTCGTTGATTATTTCTTGTTCAGTTTCTATTTCTTTGCTGTAGGCCCTGGTGTTGGGCCTATCTTTCTTAGACATTTTTAAGTATTTATTGAGTCAATTAACCATCCTCTGCTACCAGCTTGTTGCAATGTTTTTAGGATCAGACTCAATAAAGATAATAAAGATTAGAGGTATATATATATTTCTCTTTAATCATAACAGGCATTCTATATTCACTGAATATTCACAGATAGAAGCAAGGAAAATGGTGAGGGTGGCTCCTTATATATACAAAGGGCGGAGTCAAGGATGGGAGTGGTGAATTATGAATACATTAGGAAACAAAGAATAAGTTAACCCCCGATATCCCATATATACATTATTTACACATTAGGGAATAAGGCATTTACATCTGACAGTATGTTTCTCAACCTGGGCAAATTTAAGGTGAATGGACTTCAACTCAAGAATTTCTAGCCAGCATGGGAGTTGAAGCCCACACATTTTAAAGTTTCTAGGGTTGAGAAACATTGCATTAGAGCACACTGGCTCTTTCATAATAGGTACTAGTACAGAGTACTATGAGTCCCTTTGACTACAAGGTGATCAAACCAGTCAGTCCTAGAGGAGATCAACCCTGACTGCTCTTTAAAAAGGCCAGATCCTGAAGATGAAACTCAAATGCTTTGGCCACCTAATGAGAAGGAAGGACCAACTGGAGAAGAGCCTAATGCTGGGAATGATTGAGGGCAAAAGAAGAAGGGGACGACAGAAAGCGAGGTGGCTGGATGGAGGTGAAAGCGAGGTCACTGAGCGCGAGCTTAAATGGACTCCGGGGATGGTAGAGGACAAGAAAGCCTGGAGGATCATTGTCCATGGGGTCGCGATGGGTCGGACACAACTTCACAACTAACAACAACAACTAGTACAGAAAATTGCAGGATATTCTCCCACCTAAAAAGGGTTCCTCCACCAAGTTCTATACCCTACAGTTGGCAATGACGTGCAGAGTAAAATCCACAGGGACTCCTTCCCCTGTTACCAGGTTCTACCCAGCCATTCTCTTTGAATTAAGGCATCCCTTGTATTATTTTTTTTCCCCCAATGTGCCAACCTAGCAGTCTTACCTAGCTGGGTCTGAGGGACGTGGTGGCTCAGTGGCTAAGACGCTGAGCTTCTCGATTGAAAGGTTGGCAGTTCAGCGGTTCGAATACCTAGTGCTGTGCAATGGGGTGAGCTCCCGTTACTTGTCCCAGCTTCTGCCAACCTAGCAGTTCGAAAGCACGTAAAAAATGCAAGTAGAAAAATAGGGACCAGCTTTGGTAGGAAGGTAAAAGCTTTCCGTGCGCCTTTGGTGTTTAGTCATGCCGGCCACATGACCACGGAGACATCTTTGGACAGTGCTGGCTCTTCGGCTTTGAAACGGAGATGAGCACTGCCCCCTAGAGTCGGGAACGACTATCACATATGTGCGAGGGGAACCTTCACCTTTACCTAGTCGGGTAATGAATGTCTGCAAGCAAACCAAGCTCAGAGAGCACAAAAAATTCCACAGTTCAATCCTGAGTGACAAATATAATCTTCTACATATGGAAAGTCTGCATATGATATGTCATCTATCACATAGTTAGGTCCCAAGCTTTTAGAACAGACACAGGAAGCAAAGAATACTGACAACAAACCTGTTCTGGACCAACTTCAATCACCAGATACAGAAAAACAGGAAGAGACTGAGGGAACAGTTGTACAGGATTTGGAGATGGAGATGGAGATGGAGAATAAATATATAATATGGAATATTAATGGAATAAATATTCCATCAAAACAAAAGAGAATATAATAATATTTCATTATTAGGAGTAGGAGAAGAACTGGCAGAGCCAGGAGAAGAATAAAAAGAGGCATTAGTTTAAAGTCATTACATAGCCACAAATGAATTAAGTCCAACCCCCTTGACTGCAGTTGATCCTTATCTAATTCTAGCAAGGTGCTAACTCTTAGTTGAGAAGATTTCTGTGCGTAGACTGGCAGCAATAAATCAGCTGAATTGAATCTTCACGATGGTATAGAATATTTGATGAAAAAGCTAAATGACTTTGGAGGTTTAACAGGTTTCAAAATAAATAAGCAGGAAACAAAAATTCTGGTTAAGAATATAAATATTCAGGATTATGAAATCTTGATAAAGAAGTCAGGTTTTTAAGGTGGAGAAAAAGATCAAATATCTTAGAGCGACACTGACAAATGCAAACTCTAAGCTATTTCAAAATAATTTTGTACCTATTTGGAATGATATTTAAAAAAAGATCTACCAAGATGGGATTAACTGGCAATTATCTTTTTTGGGAAGAATCTCTGTAATTAAGATGAATGCTTTACCAATATCTTCTTTTTATTGCAGACATAACCAATATTGATGACTGATATTCCATTTAAACAATGGCAAACAGATTTTTCTAAGTTTATATAGCAATGAGAATAAAAAAAACCCCAAAATTAAAAACAAATTGTTGCAAGTTGCTAAAAAAAAAAGGTTTGGGTTTACCAGATTTAGAATTATATTCTGAGGCTTCTTGTTTGGTCTGGCTGAAAGATTGGATGACCATTAAAAATAAAAGGTTAGTAGAACTGGAGGAAACGCCTACTATGGCATGACAAGATTAAAATAAATGCTGATTTTTGGAATTGTTTTGCTAGGTGTGCCATCCTAAGAGTTTGGAATAAATATAAAATAAGGCTTTCTTCTAAGATACCGTATCTCTTTGATTGTCATATCAGGAAGACTTTTTCAGAAAGCAAATGATGGTGAGACTAAAACAGTGGACTGATGGTGAAATAATATCTTTTACCCAATGGGAACCTAATCTCAAGTCAAAAGAAGAATTGAAGTCAGGAGGATGTTTGCCATTGGTTCACTTATTTACAACTTTAAAAAAAAAGATTTAATTTAAACAAGAAGTTATGGGTTTGAATCGGTAAAATTGAAATTTTACTGTGTGCTAATGATTAACATGTTATTGCCAAGGGTTAGGATTAGGGAGGGCTCTGTTCTTGTTTGGAATGAGACTCACCTCTGATCTTTTAGCTGCCTATTATGGGGAGGGACAAAAAGTAAATGGGATCAATGCAAAGAGGGACACAAAAAGTAAAGTTGAATTTCATACATCATTTAATTTCAGTTGAAATTTATTCTATATGCTTAACACATTTACTCCTTTCTGTCACACAGCTGTGATTGTTTAGAAGCAACTTTTGGACAATTTCTGTAGGACATAGTAAAAGTTTTAGTTTTACAGAACTACATTGGGTATTCTGGGCACAATTTAGCAAACATTTGGGCAAAGAAAGCCAACTTTTATATTACATGCACACCAGAGGTGGGTTTCAGCAGGTTCTGACCAGTTCTGGAGAACCGGTAGTGGAAATTTTGAATAGTTCGGAGAACCAATAGTAAAAATTCTGACTGGCCCCGCCCCCTCTATTCTCTGCCTACCAAGTCCCAGCTGATTGGGAGGAAATGGGGATTTTGCAGCAACCTTCCCCTGGATTGGGGAGGGAATGGAGATTTTACAGTATCCTTCCCCTGCCATGCCCACCAAGCCACGTCCACCAAGCCATGCCATGTCCACCAAGCCACACCCACAGAACCGGTAGTAAAAAATTTGAAACCCACCACTGATGCACACCTATGAATTAAACAATGAGTACAGTTTCTGTGAAAAATAATTTCAGGCAACATTAGATAGTAGGCGTAGTTAATATTTTGAAGTACAGCTGACCATGAACTCACAGAAATTTGCAACCAATGTCCATGCATACAAGGCTCTTCATGATAGAAAACCTGAAAGTGAGATTCAGAACCCTGTCACAACATACATACATACATACACACACACAGGTTCTCTGTATAACAGTCTTTGCACAGATGTGTTGAAAGCCTACTCCACCAGTCAGTCCTTGAAAGGAAAAGTAAAACTCCATTGATTATAAAGGGACTTAACTTCAATCATTTCTGTAGATTTTTGATTAATGAATATCTACCCTGGTTTTATCCTTTTTTTAAGTACAGAAAACTTCTGCATTTCTAATGATATACATCAAGAGATTAGACATAGTCCAAGGATGAGTCAGTTCCAAACAGTAGAAGCCAGATAGGAAAAAGTTGTAGTTGTAGGTTGGAAGACATCCATTTTGTCCCACACCTTTTTCTCTTGTGTCTTTTCATGTAGATAATCTCTCTGTGTGATATGTAACAAGTGTGGTTATAATAGTTATCAAAGTTGTTATAAAGGATAGAAAAATAAAGTAGAAGAGTTAAATATAAAAGCAGAATATACATGTCGATGCAGAAGTCGGTAAAAATAGTACACATTGTTATGTTTGTCTTGTTTTTTACTGTGTTTTTTGTCTTAATAAAAACATTTTTTAAAAAAAATCTCTCTGCCGGTCTTTCAGCAACTTGAATGTCCCTATTAGAGCTATGCATCAAAATTCTGTGAGTAGATTGAATTAAAAGTTATTATTAATCTCTGGATTTCACAGTTGCCCAGGATCACTTGATAGTGAAATGGGCATTATTTAAATTTAATAAATAAATATAAATAAATAAATTTAAGAGCTCCACTTTGTACTAAATAATAAACTCAATGGATTGCAGAATACACATGTGTGCTATTTGCTCCATCAGCTTCATGTTTAATGCTTTATACCCAGCATCATAGTGGAGTAAGCCCTCAGCATACTGGTTCCACCAATCCTGATATTCTATAACAACTGTAATTATGAATTGATACATTTTTATGTATCAATTTAGCAGTGTTCCAATATCTCAGGGGCTGCCACAAAGAAGAGGGAGTCAAACTATTGTCCAAAGCACCTGAGGGTAGAAAAAGAAGCAATGGGTGGAAACGAATCAAGGAGAGAAGCAACTTAGAACTAAGGAGAAATTTCCTGACAGAACAATTAATCAGTGGAACAACTTGCCTCCAGAAGTTGTGAATGCCCCAACGCTGGAAGTTTTTAAGAAGATGTTGGATAACCATTTGTCTAAAGTGGTGTAGGGTTTCCTGCCTAGGCAGGGGGTTGGACTAGAAGACCTCCAAGGTCCCTTCCAACTCTTTTATTCTATTCTATTTAATTCTACCAGCCTCCTATACCATTTCCTCTTACTACCCAGATGAAGACAACAGTTGCAGGGAAACCGTAGCATTCTTACAACTGCATCTTCTTTCTCCCCAAAATGCAAGAGAGTTGGCAGCTACATTTCACCAAACAGCAAAGGCTACTACAAGGACTGCACCATTAAAAGTTGGCAGCAACCACTGTTCATAGTGATTGATGACTTGATCGCATACTTTACAATAATCCAAAGAGGAGAAGTTAAGACTAGTCAATAGTGACTTTTTCAGGACCTTCCTTACAAATGTAAGGATTTGAACTTGTTTTACCAAATACTATCTCACTTCTTGGAAAAATTAATGTTAAAAAAAGCAGGAGACTACTTGTTTTTTTAAAGGCAGTTCTGGGTCAAATACTTTCCACTTTACTTCCCCAAAATATCTTGTTCACTTTTGGGTCCCTGCAGTGGATATTTTATTATTCCACCACAAATAAACTGTAAAAGAAGCATGGCCATGTCAACCTATTTTGTCTCAAAGTGAAGGAAGTTAAAATTATGGAGAGGAAGAAGCAGGGGCGAAATGCTCCCGGTTCGGACCGGATTGGGCGATCCAGTAGCAATGGTGGTGGGTGGTTCAGAGAATCAGTAGCAAAAATCCCTCTTCCCCCACCCCTGCCCATGCTCACCCAATTGCCCGGTCACCTGCTTGCCACTTCTTTTAAAAAATGCTTTTAAGAGGTTAAAAAAAAGGCTCTGACGATCCCAATTGAGCTGCCTGATCGTCAGAGCCTTTTGTTTTACTTTTAAAAGCATTTTTTACAACCTATTCGGCTGATGCTTTAAATGCTTTTAAAGGTTAAAAAAAAGATTGCGTGCTACAGCTAATCATACACAACCTCTGTGCGCTGTTCCAATTATGCCATGCCTCCTTTTGGCATGCATTACACGTGCACACACCTCACATTTGGTGCATGGTGCGCACTGCATATGTGTGCATGCAGTGTGCGCATGTGCAACCAGTGAACCGGTAATAAACTGGTTCAGATTTCACCACTGGGAAGAAGGTATGGTTCTGTGGGGTTACACTTTTCTTTTTGGTTTTAAAGCAGAAGCATTCTTAATATTTCACAGCAAACATGTTGAGCCTACAATAAAATGTTTCTCCTGATGAGGGTGCCAGCTAATCAGCCAAATATTTAATTCAATGAAGGCAGGCAAAAGAAAGAGAGAGAGAGAGAGATGTATAAACACAAAGAAATATAAAATTCTATAGCCATATAGAATCCTCACCCTTTGGGACTGTTTGACTGTTTTTCTTGTCCCACCAAACATTTATTGCAGCATATAGCCAAATCTGGCTGATCTGAAAACAACAATAACAACAGTGAAATTGAATTTAGTTGATTAGTACTAGGATGAATGTCTAGGAAATCCCAGATCTGTAACAACACTGTCAAATTATTCGCTAAGGCAGCATTACTATTACTATTAGTCTCCTCATCATTCCTATCGCCCATCTCCTCCCACTTATGACTGCATGACTGTAACTTTGTTGCTTGTATCCTTATGATTTATATTGATTGTTTCCTGATTGCTTATTTGTACCCTATGACTATCATTAAGTGTTGTACCTTATGATTCTTGATGAATGTATCTTGTCCTTTTATATACACTGAGAGCATATGCACCAAAGACAAATTCCTTGTGTGTTCAGTCACACTTGGACAATAAAGAATTCTATTTCTATCTATTCTAGATTGGGAAGCTACCTCAGAAGTAAAGGTAAAGGTAATAGTTCCCCTCGCACATATGCTGGAACATGTTGGAAACCCATATCTTCACCCTACATCAGTGGTAGGTTTCAGCAGCTTCTGACCAGTTCTGGAGAATCAGTAGCGGAAATTTTGAGTAGTTCGGAGAACCGGTAGTAAAAATTCTGACTGGCACCCCCATCTATTCTCTGCCTCCCAAGTCCCAGCTGATCGGTAGGAAATGGGGATTTTGCAGTAACCTTCCCCTGGAGTGGGGAGAGAATGGAGATTTTACAGTATCTTTCCCCTGGAGTGGGGTGGGAATGGAGATTTTACAGTATCCTTTAGTGGTGGGTTCCTCCCGGTTCCGCCGAGCCGATAGCGGTGATGATATGACGTCATCGAACCGGTTCTGCCCCCCCCACCCCCGTGTTAGTCTTACCTTTTATTTAGCCCCACCCCAATCTATTGCTGCCTCCTGAGTCCCAGCTGATGGGCTATAAGGAAAAACTGTATAAACTCTTGCCGTAAGGCTTCAAAGGGCCACCCTACAGCTGATCAGTGGTAAAAGGCAGTTTGGTGGTAGACCGGTGCCTCCAAAAAACAAATGAGTAGACCGGTGCCTGCAAAAATAAATGGGTAGACCAGTGCCTGCAAAAATACATGAATAGACCAGTGCCTGCAAAAATACATGAGTAGACCAGTGCCTGCAAAAATAAATGGGTAGACCAGTGCCTGCAAAAATAATTGGGTAGACCAGTACAGCTCTGCAAGCAGTTAAAAGCCTGGTAGCCCAGTACCTCTGCTAAATCCTAAAGAATTGTCACATGACAATCAAGCCATGCCCACAGAACCGGTAGTAAAAAATTTTAGAACCCACTCCTGGTATCCTTCCCCTGCCACGCCCACAACCACGCCCACAGAACCAGTAGTAAAATAAATTGAAACCCACCACTGCCCTACATGAAGGTGGCTTGGAGGGCTACTCTTCTGATTTTATTTTCTTTCTGCCACCATTATGGATAAAGGTTATATTTTTCATATATTTTTTATGATCTCGGTTTTTTCACTGTGTATTTTAAATACAGTAGCAGTATACACACACACACACACTATAAATTTAATATACTTATAGACTGCTTTTCATTATTATAACCTGGTAGTACATATATAATTTAGGTAATACATAAATTAGTAATAAAGGTAAAGGTTCCACCGCACAAGCATGCTAGTCGTTTCCGGCTCTAATTGGGCGGTGCTCATTTCCGTTTCAAAGCCGAAGAGCCAGCACTGTCCGAAGACATCTCTGTGATCATGTGGCTGGCATGACTAAATACCAAAGGCGCACGGAATGCTGTTACCTTCCCACCAAAGTGGTCCCTATTTTTCTACTTGCATTTTTTACGTGCTTTCGAACTGCTAAGTTGGCAGAAGCTGGGACAAGTAACAGGAGCTCACTCCATTACACGGCACTAGGGATTTGAACCGCTGAACTGCCGACCTTCTGATTGACAAACTCAGCATCTTAGCCACTGAGCCACCATGTCCCTTGGAAAATTAGTAGTAGTACATATATAATTTACATAATTATATAAACATAATTAATATTTTCAGATCCATATTTTCCCTCTGAGTACATATTATAATGAAACCACGGAGAGATTAAATAAGCCTCTTTGTAATGAACCGATTAGGTGATATCCATTATTCACAAATGTCCACTAAATGCAGAAGTATATAATTAGAACAATGTATGGCATTTGCATGACAATGTCATTGTACAAAAGATGTAAATCCCCATGGAAATTTGGGCCACTGGGTGCAAAGTTCTTATCTTGAGGTCTAGAAAATACAATTTTGCACATATTCTCAGAGTCGTAGACTAATAGGATGCATCTGCAGCCACATGAGAACAAGTGGTTGCAGTGCATCTTTCACCCATGGAAATCTGTCCATAGAACCTAGTCTTCAAGTAGCAGACAAGTTATGTGAATTAAACACTAGCAGTTGAAGAACATTCTTCATGCTGTTTTAATAATTGCTTTATTAACTCTAGTATTTTTTTTTTATAGGTATAGTTTATTGAATAGCCCGAAGGTCTTTTCAAACAAAACAGAAGAGAAAAAGGGGAAAAGATAAAACAGTTACAAAAATAGCAATCTAAAAATATATGATAGATGACATTAAAATTTTACCATATCAAATTTCAATAGCTAAGTTGCCAAGACTAGAAGACTAGATAACCCAAATAGGATAGCTCCTCTCTAACTAAGCTCATCTTTCTTACAATCGATAAAATTTTCCTTGATATAACTGGTTAACTCTAGTACTATGATCCCTTGTACAGAGAATAGAAAAACCATGTGCCCCATAGAACCTCCCACCCCCTGAATTTATAGCCCTTGGACCAAGCCACCAAATTCCAGTGACAAAATATTTTAACACATCCATTTTATCTCTTTAAGCTGTCTCCCCAAGTCCATAGACTAAAAAATGGGCTACAACAATTAACTCTGCAACTACATTTATAGCGTTTATTTTATTTATTTATTTATTTATTTATTT